TTTTTTTTTTGGAGCTTACTTGAGAAAGACATCTTTTGTGTGATACTTTTTTTTATAGTCCTGTGCCTATCATAAAAAAAAAAAATTTTTTTTTACAATATTGGGAAAAGAGGAGGAAAAAGTACTTAACAATCATGTTTATTAGCACACTCTTATAAATTTTTATTAAATTTTCTTTCCCCCCCAAATGACAGTACATAATAATATTTTTGATTCCAGCCTTTTCACTCTTGAGCACTATTGCATATTACTACTAACTTCCTAAAAATAATTTCTTAAGGTTGCATAGTACTTCAAGGAATGGATCTACTGTAATATAATTGATTTTCTGTTGGTGGGAATTTAAGATGTTAGCTTTTCACTGTAATGTTGTCATGAATATCTACAGCTTAAATATATATATATTTTAATTTGGGAGTATTTTTTAAAAAATGGAATTACTTAAAGGATATTTTATGGTTCTTTTTACCGCAGTTCTCAGTAAATTTATTATATTACAAAGTTTAGTTCACAGATACAGACTTTTTCACTTGAACTTAGTCATTTAATTTTGTTTCTTCTTAGTCTGAGATTTTTTTCTTCATTAAGCATTCTTTAAATAGTACATTAGACTCAATCATGTTGTACTTGTTTATTGCATAGGCTGTCTGAAATTGAGGGTGGTTGACTGTCAGATCTTTCAGACTTACCTTTTTGGAAATATTTGTGCTATTTAGTAACATACCTTGTTTAATATTAAGAATACTAAATTAAATGTTAATACTAACTTTACCTTATGATTCTTAATATTTATGTGGGGCCAATTTGTAAATTTTTTGTATCTGTCTGCAAACTTAATTCCTGATGCTGTTGAGCAATTAGCTATCTGGCCTAGTTGACTTGGAGGAACGTGGTGCAATCAATGCCTTTGTCTGCTTTGGTTGAATAAAAAGTGCAGAAAGTGAGGATGATTACATGATATATACATGTGGGAGAGATCTGAAGTCTTTTATTTTGCCTAGTTTCATTTAAAGGCACCATTTTGATTGGTGGTTCTGAATTTCTATTTTAATTTTTTTTAAGTTTATTGATGTTGAGAGAGAGAGAGCGTGAGTGGGGAGGTCTGGAGAGAGAATCCCAAGCAGGCTCCATACTGTCAGTGCAGAGCCTGATAAGGGGTTCAAACTTACATACTGCTGAGATTATGTACTGAGCCGAAATCAAGAGTCAGATGCTTAACTGAGCCACTCAGGTGGCCCCCTGAATTTCTATTTTAAGTGACAGCTGGGCTTTTTGTTTTTTAGAATTTGTCTTCACCCTGCAGCTGTCTTGGCTTAATCTCATCTTAAACAATATGTGATCAGCCTTTTATGAAAACTTTCTAGGATTTTTATTTGGAGATTTAATATTTACCCATTCTTACATGATTTTGTACTGATAGGCCACTGGGAAGTGTACTACTTGGGTATAGACCAGTGAAAGATGTGAGGTTAGGAAGAATTTGATAATGCAGCAATTATGTAGTCCAGTCATCTTAATTGTTAGGCATTTGCATATTTCATGTAAGCTTGTTGGAATGAGTTTTGGAGTGGTGAGTATGGTGAATGTAACAGGGTATTGGATTTGCTTACTAGCTGTGTAATGAATGCTTCTTGTTAGAGGACCATGGGAGTAGGTCTACATAGTGATTGCTTCCATCTATCTGCCTTTTTGGTGGCACATTTCAGAAGTCAAATACTCTTGTGATTAAAGTAGAAATAGCGTGAGATAATTGGCCCATCCACAATAAAATTTTGTTAAGTAGTAGTAGCAAAGTTTGTAATAATTAGGTAAGAAAATAAAGTTCGGGGCTTCTCTGTTCATACTATGATTCTGAAGTAGCGAGAAAAAATATGGCCCTTGAACATCATTGTATTTGCAGACCTAAGGAAGCTGAACTGCTAGAACCTTAAGAAGATTTTGAGCAATTTCTGCCTATAATTATCACTGAGATGTAGGAGGATATTGTGTCTTCTACTAGAAAGCCGGGATATTATTATATGGTAAATAAGAGCAACTTGTGGAAGCTGATCAAAATGGTCATCCAAATGAAATGGCCATCCAGATAAAAGTGGCAGGCTTGGAGGAAGGAGCTCTGATGACTCATAATCAAAATCTAAACAATTTTTTTTTTCCGATTTTTTTTTAATATATGAAATTTATTGTCAAATTGGTTTCTTTTTTTATTTTATTTTATTTTATTTATTTTTTTTTATTTATATATGAAATTTATTGTCAAATTGGTTTCCATACAACACCCAGTGCTCATCCCAAA